TCGTATGTTACCGCAAGTTTTGCATCAGGTTAGTGATGGCTAATATTTGGCACTAATTCAAGTGTACATGTTTTGCAAAGCCAAGAAGTAAATTTCCATTTAGGTCAGCAAAAGTGCTGCTTGACCAAAAGGTGCTGCTTGACAAAAGTGCAGAAAATGTGATGCTTTGAGTGCGTCTTACCTTTTTAAATGTAATGTTACCTTAGATAAGTGTACGTGGGAAACCACGGCCAATCAAAAGCTATTATAAGACCAAGGGGGTAATCCATCTGCCGGAAGTTGAAGCCTCGCGGGAGCCGCCATTGTAGCAGAACTTCACTTGCTGTTAGCATTCCATTGACTCCCAGTCATTTTGGTGTCACTTTGACAGCGAATAACTTTACATCGGAGGCATCCAAAGACTTTTATTTCTAAAGAAACGTATGTATAAACAATGTATAAAATTATCCATTACCATGTATCTTATGGCCCTGTAGAAGCAGTTTATAGCCGCGTTTCCACCGCAATTACCAGGAACTATTTGTCCCAGGAACTTTTTTCACAGGAACTTTTTTTCCCCAGACCGCTTGCTTACTGCGTTTAGCGTACTAAAGTACCGGTCTGAGGCGGGAAGTAGCCTATGTTAAACTGCGTGCGACTGCTCTTCCTAGCCTGCGCGTTTGTTTTGAGTTTTGTATGGAGGAGATTCAAGCTTTGCTGCTTTTGTGTGCGATTGGTTTACTAACGAGGTAATTAACAAAACGGCAGAAAAGAGACGAGCACCCAAAGCGTATTCAGAAAGCTCGTAATGCTAGATATAAAAGTAGACGCTTTTTATCAGCGGACATGTGACATGGATAGGACGAACGCGCGCCATCGGGCAGAAAGAATAGCGTGGTAACTAAGAACCAATCAGCATTGTTCAGCGCACAAGTCCCACCCCGAAAGTTCCTGAACTCTGAAAAAGTACCACCGCGCCAGCAGGGACTTTCTGGGGGGGAGATTTTTACCCGGAACTTCATTTAGACCCTGGTTCCTGCGGTAACACACCGAGTACCACCCCAAAGTTGCTAGTTCCTGGTGGCGGAAGTAAATGTTCAATACGATTTCTCCATTGACATTTGGGATATAAGCCATAAAAACGTAACCATACATGGTAGACTTAAAACCAGCTACGGCTGTACTAAGCGATTGTATATGCTCATATAAACGCCAAAAGTTCATGGGGCACTAACCTTGTTTTAAGATAAATCCCTTTTATTCGCAATGTATTGGATAAGTACTTCACTACCCACAATCCTGAACAATCCCACAATCCCACAGTGATGCATCTGATTGATGGAAGTCGTGTCACGTGTCTGAAACCCCGCGAAGGCGCGTGAAGACTGAAGATCGCATAATGACGTAGGCTAAGTTCATTGGTCGCACCTCAGAGACGACCCCGCGCCATTGGATGTGCACAACACAGCCTATGAGCGAGCCAGATGCTCAATGTTTTAGTATGTGCATAAGCTTCAGTAAATCGAGGAAAAGCAGTTTCCCTGCACATTCACTATATAAAATTCACTGGAGGAAAAAGTTCACGTGGCCGTCGTCAGATTTGGAAGTCACTCAAAAGGCTCTTTCACGGTGGCTTCAGTCGACTTTAGTGAGGCGCGGGGGTTTATGGGAGGAGTAGTTCCTTTGCTCGGAAATGAAAATATGTACACAGGCTTGTACCCTTGACTTTTTTTGGATTTTCTCTTCGTTTTTTCACTCGAAATGATATGTTGTATGCTTATGAGTTCAGCCTTAGCTTGTTATCCTCAGACTCTCTTATACTCTTTAGATATGGATTTTACAAAATGTCAATGGGAGAAATGAATGGGAAATTTACTTCTGGCACCAACGCTCTCTCTGGCTATGGGCGGGACTGTGATGCTCTATTAGCTTTTAACAGGCTTCAATTTTCTCTGTTGAAATCAACAGGGTCGCTGTGTCCATTTAGACCTTATGCACCAGAGAAACGTGGGCGCCGTCATCTTTCGAATATTGTCTTTGAACTTCCGTTTTTTCGGTCGCTCTGTATATTTTTTATGGCATCGCTGTCAAGGAGTGAAGTGGATTTACTAATTGTAGAGTACACAAAAGTTATCATGAGCATTGTAAAGCGGGAATTTTTTTACGAGCAGTTCATTCATACCTACGCAAGATCGCTGTGAAAATACAGACCGAAAGTCAAAAGACAACGAGCGCAGCGCTGAAAAGGGGCAGGGCTACATAAGGTCTATAAGACAAGTAAAGTTGGTTGACTTAGGCCTATCAGTGGTGGCCATTATACCTCTACTGAAGTAAATGTGTTACTTTACTTTCAAGTGTATGCAATCACGGGGGCTATACCAAAGTATCTTTGATTGTGTAAGCGTGAATGTGACCGATATCAGGCATAATAGCAATTACCTCTGTTTAGTGACTGAAGCTGGCGAGATTGTGATCATGAGACCCATATATTAAACAAGGCGTGAGGACCTCTGAGCGACATAGCTTCCTACTATGAACGTGTAAAATATAAGTAAAAAGTTTAATAGAACAATCAAATGTAGCTGCCTATTGCTAAGCTATTATATAATTGACAAATAACCAATTGGCAATCTAACTTAAATTCGAGGTTGTGATAAAATGGAGTCAGATAAAAGCTTAAATGGAATTAAATTACTTTGCCACTCGGAAAGACAGTAACACGCAGAGACCTTCACCCGTCTTATCAGAAACCCCCACTTGGACCGATACGGGCTTACATTCACTTTAGGTGGCCATGACTTATGAGGGAGATGCTGAAGGAGGCTTGTGGCGATTTGTAACTCAAATTAGCCCGTGATGCGGAGTGTATGCAGCCAGGCACTCCTTATCATGTATTTTATAATGTAAGGTTCGCATCTTCTCAGTGGCAAGTTAAAAGCTCTCATGAATGTTTGCAGCTCAAAATCTGACTGAATGGATATAGAAAATAAATGTAATGATGTTGGCCATTTAAACTTAATATTTTTATTCTTCTGAGACTAAATTTTCAAACTGCTACTCCTTCCAGAGCTTTAATGCTATACAAGCAAAAAAAAAAAAAAACTCACCACAGACCTTGGGCCTGTTCTGAAGTTTGCTATATCTTTTCTAACTGATCAGACTTTGTTTTTGTGGCAGTATAAACATGGCCAACCATAAAGGCTAACAGATTTCTGTAGAATCTGTTTGTTGTGGAATGTGATAACATTTCCTTTTTTTATGGCTTTGAGTTATCTTCTTAAGCTTCCAATGAAAAGGCTGTCTATCATATTATCAACTTCCATTTACGTTTTTCAAGACTAAATCTGTGAGAAAAAGAAAGACAAGATGATACAAGTTTATCTCAGAAAAAACACACACAAGTGTGTATATAATGGCACAAGACACATTATATAATTCTTTCAGAAATCTTTCAGATGACAGATGTTTATTGAAAAGCATGAATAATCTGTTTACACGGTTGAGTGATTTCTTTTTTGTTTTTGGTCCGTTGCAAACTCACTACAGTGAAATATTGCCATATGTCAAACACTATGGACAATACTTTTGCAACCAGCTTGTTTCTGTTGTTAAAGATGAAAAGCATTATTTAAATATATTTAATGCGTATTTAATGCGCATACCCAATGATCTCAATCAGCTTCACCCAAAGCCCTTTCATATCTTTAAATCAGTTTGTTAAATAAAACTTTGACCAAAACCATACAAAAAATTAGTTTCTTTAAAAAATAAAATAGAATATACTGTTTCCGTTTAGTTTTCCGTAACTATCACGGTGTGGGTTTTTAACGCATTCTCATCCCAAAGCGCCATATACAACGCTTTTGCAAAAGCGTAAATATCCAACGCACATGGCACCCCACGTCTAATGAGACGCTTCGGTTATGGTTAAGTTTAGGTATGGTGTAGGGTAAGGGTTAGACCACTAGGGGGCGCCTTCTGCCCAAATATATCTGCGTCTCATTTGACGTTAAAGGGTGCCATGTGCGTTGAGAACGGGCTCGGGTTTTCTGTCTTGTTTCTTTTTCTTGTCTGTCATGTGATTTCCTGTTTGCCACGTGGTCCTGCCATGTGTCTTGTCATTTGTTAATTGTCAGGTCATTGTTCACAGGTGTTCCTTGTCTTGTAATTAGTCAGTGTATAAACCCTATTGTTTGCCCTGTGTCTAGTAGGCTATTGCATGTAACCAGTGAATGTTTCCTTTCATTCTTCTAGTTTCCAGTTTATAGCTTTTGTTTTATGTTTGATCTTATTTTTATTATCAAAGTTGCATTTGAGTTTGCTACGTCTTGCCTCTGGTGGAATCAATTCATAACAGTAACTAAAACTGAAATAAAAATGAATAAAAACTATAAAGACTTTTTTAAAGTAATTAATTAATTTAAATTAATATTAATTTGTTAATAAAAACTACAAGTGCAACCTCAATTATACTAAAATAACACTGTTTGAATATGTCCTTTATCACATTTATCATATTTTTTAGGCAATCTAAACAAAAAGATTTTAGAAAAATACAAAAAATACAAAAAATTTGTAACGTTTATTGAATTTAATTTGATTGCTGTTTCATTTTTGTTTACCTTTTTAAAGACTAGCAACAGACCATATTGTTATTATTTTTTTGAAAGTACAATGACAATATAAAAGCTTATTCTTTATCTTAGGAAAAAAATAAGAGGTGGTTGATTATGATTTCAGATTTATATCTTTAGTGTGCAATGTTGCTGTTTGAGCATAAACAACATCTGCAAAGTTACAACTCAAAGACAAGTTCAAAGCAAAAATGAGATATTTTCTTTTACAGAAATCGCTACAACAACGGACTGATAGAGACTACACGAGCTTCCTCCCTGGATAGTGACATCATGAACCCTAAAATGTACAATAGCACTGCACTCTGTAGTCTGTAGCCATTTTACAACAGTTCCCACAGGAGCGAGATTCCCATAAGAAATTTTACCATGGTATTTTTGTCAGACTTTACATAGGCCTACACACTCTTGGGGACATCAGAAATATATTTTACATCTCGTAAAAAGAGGAATTATACCATCCCTTTAAGATTTATCTCATAAATTGGTCTTTATATTAAAAAAAGGATGTTAAGAAGGGAGTCCCTAAATGTGGTGTCCTTGGTATCAAAACGTTTGAAGCCCCTTGTTGTAGCTAGTCATGTAAAAAAAAAAAAGTCAGAGAGAAAGAGACCAACAACATTTAGCAATCAAGATGTTTAATTTACAATAAGTAATAAATTATATAAATAACAAAATATCTTTAGGGGATCAGAATCTTTTGACAAGATGCCATCTGCTCCAAACGTCCCGTTTCGCATCTGGGACCCTACCCCTCTCGGGACAGCTGAAACAAATCCGGCCTCAGCAGCTGGGATGGATTAAGGATGGAATATCTAATGAGAAGTTCCCCTCAGATGGAGGAGCGGGATGCAGGCTTCTGGCTATTCAAGTGGAAAATGCAGTCGGAGAAGCACATGGAGGGGATTGTGTTTGTTTAAACGACCTTTTCCATTGCTCCAGCTTTCTCAGTACATCAGGCGTAATTGACACATGGCAAACACTTTTAAAGACAGCAAAAAAACAGACGGCAAAACGTCTATTGTTAATCCACTGTCTCTTCTGCTTTTCAGAATATCTCTTCTGATGAAATCCTTCGCCATGACATCATTTCTCTGTGTTGAAAGACAAAGCTAAAATCAGTAAAACTAAAAAAGGTTAACATGTTTTCTTTATTGCTTTACTTTTGATGAATCAAGCTGCCGCAATAATGTGTAAAAAATATTCACCCAGAAATGAACGTCCTGTAATCATTTACTCTCCTGAATATCATTCCTTTTTTTATTTTCTGATTTTGACTGAAATGACTGAATTTTCATTTGTGGGTGAATGAATTAGATATAAAATGCAAAATGACTTTGACATTTTTGAACTGGTGTCATTCATTACAGTAGACGGACGACTCACACATTGCAGGTGGGAACAATCCTCTCTTCAGGATGTCTCGAAAAAATCATTCTTTTCAGGAAAGATGGGAGTCGGAGTTTAGGTCTGTATTGTTTCGGCACTGGACTAAAAACCAGAGACAAGAGGAAGAAGGTATGAATAGGAACACTGATGCATTCAAGACTTACTTTTTTGTCACAACAGAGTTATGCAACACAAGATTTAAAAACAAAATGCTCTACTAACAAGACCAAATGTAACAACGGATGTGCGTTTTCTGCAGGTTTTCTGGCTACTTATAAACAGAATCATGTGAGGTTGCTTATTTAAAAGGCTCACTTTACTCTGTAAATTAATTTCAGCATCTGGTTGCATGTTACACATTAGTCACCAGTCACTATACTTGAAGGGTCAATGAAGTAAAAGAAAGAAAAAGACTTAGTTTAAAATGCATAAAATACATTTACATTTAATGACTCTCAAAATTTAATCAAATAAAAATGAATAACATATTTTCTTTATAACTCGAATGTATTTGAGTGTTTCTGAAAGTTTTAGAATGTATTTTTCAATACAAATTTCATTATGTTTTTGGGGAGAACCTGACATTTTTCAAGTGAGCCTGAACTAACGGTCAAATAATCTGATATTTTAAGAGAAGTATTGATATAATTTATATAATTATTATACATGTTGATATAATACCTGTTTGTATCACAGGAGGACCTTTTTCCAAATATTAATAATATTTTGTTATATTTATATCTTTTAATATTTTATTATTAACTGCTTTTTTCTCATAAGGAATAATAACAGCTTTTGCCGTTCAACCAAAAATGAAAATTCTGTCATCATTTACTCTCCCTCAAGTTGTTCCAAACATGTATGAATGTCTTTCGTCTGCTCAACAAAACAGAAAATATTTTGAAGAATATGTTTTTTCCATAGTATAGAAAAAATACTGTGGAAGTCAATGGGGCCCTTCTTTTGAAGAAGAAAATAAGTCCATACCGGTTTGGAACAACTTGAAGGCGAGTAAATGATGACAGAATTTTCATTTTTCTTGGTGAATTACTGTCATCATCATCATCAGGATCAGTTTTTACTTAATGCCCCAATGAATACATTTAATTCAGAAATTAAAAACACACTCATCACAGAAGTCACTCAAGTCACTGTATCAATAGATCATGTTGTCACTCACCATTCAGCCTGCGATGAGGGCAGAACCTGTATATTAGAGTTTTTCTCCTCTTCCTCCTTTTCCTGCTTTCTCTCGTTCTCCTCCTCCTCCTGTTCAGCAGAAATGTTGTCCCACAGTTGGCTATTGACAAAAAGAGCCTTCTGCAAGCTGAGCCCACAGTCCAGACAGGTCACCTGACGACAGAGGGGACAGCGAATGGTGCGCAGGCCGCTGTAATGCAGCCCCATAGTCTCCAGACAGGGGGTGCAGAATGTGTGGTTACAGTGGAGAGTTCTGGGAACACGGTCGGTGCGAGAGTAACGCAGGTAACAGACCCCACATTCCTGATCCTCAAACAGCACCATGGCGGAAATACAACTTTTATACAGTTGCTGATATAATGTTTTTGTAGTTCTGTCTTCTGGACAGTGTTTAGTACTCTGAAAAAAAAAAGAAAAAGATGAAACTTTTAGGTGTACCTCGTGCATATGGACATAACTGTTGTGTAAAGGCAGCGTTCACCCAAAAATTACTTTCTTGAAACTTAAAAGAGGATATTTTTAAAATGTCTCTGTGTTGTTTCGATCCAAAGTTGGTCTAAAGTTGTTAGGATATCACTATGTTCTCAAAAATATCTTCTTTTGTATTCCTCATTAGAAAAAAAAAAAAGCATATAGATTTGGAATGATATGTGTAAACAGTGACAGAATTTTCATATTTGGGTTAAACCTTTAATAAAAAAAAGTTTAAATCTTGAAGCAGATGGCAAAGCCAGCACTGACAACCAACCAAGCATTCATCCTTATAGTATTCAACTCTAATGCTGCAGACCACCTGTTCGTCTAGAATATTATATTATATTTAATTTGACCTCTGAGTGTTGACCTCTGACCTAATGCAGACAATAGGCCTATACTGCATGAAAAAGAATGGTGACAAGATCTCTGGTTTCTGCAGCCAAGAACCTCTATATTTAAGTTCACCAGAATATTCCATAACAGTGCTCTTACATAATATTACATGTTAAGTTTTGCTCCCTTGTTAGTGATGGTCAAAGATTATATGAGATACATCTTTAGTCAAACTGTAACTTGACTTTTATGTCAAACCATTTGAACAGTATGCTCTTTGTTTATTGAAACAGCACACTGCAAACATCACTAAATTAATGAATGTTTATGTCCTTTTCCAGTGAAAATATCTAAACAACCAACAAATGTAATATACATGACAAACAATAGTTAGAATTAAGCTTATATCTCACAAACCGTTAGATTAAGATAAACACTTTTCAATCTTGTTGGAAGAAAAATATCAAACTCAAGTTGTGTTTTTTTGTTTTGTTTAAGTCTTAATATCGTATGCAGTTTTGTTTAAAAAGTACATTTATTTAGTTTTAAGTATGTTTGGATATATTTTACTGGAAAAGAAGACAAAATACTGATTAAGAGACTTTAATCAGAGACTATAATATCTTAAAATATGCCAATGGCATTGTTTTTACCTCAAGATGACCACCAGTAATGTTTTTTTCTCCTAAGGCATGTTTATAAAAACTATACTAACTAACTAAAGTCTACTCATGACTTATTCTAAGCCCTATCTCTGAAAACAGGCTTAAGATAGCTTGTCATGTAAATTAATATTAAAATGATTTTTAGTCTATTCAATGACACACACACACACAAAAAAAATGTAAATCAACCTTAGTTTAAGAAAGAAACGAAGAAATCAAGAAATATACTTACAGAACAGTGACTAGTAGTTCAGCCTAATTCAGTTATCTGTATAGACTGTTGCAGCTCTTTGTCTGAAGATTAACTCGTCTGAGTGAGAAATAGTGAGTGTGTGAATAACAGCAAACTGGCTCTGCTGTCAGTGTGAATAACCGCGGCGTGCTTTAAGGAGGCTGTGGAGTCGTGGGGGTGGTTATATCTGCCTTTCTCCTCCCCCATTGGCAATTCTAGCATGTGTTTCTAGCTAATAACCTCTGGGTTATTTGGGATTTCAGAGTAGCTCACCTCAGTTTACTTACGGGAAAAGTCAAGAAATACTGTAGACCTAAGTTCAGAAATTCCATTCTTAAAGATGTCATAACTTGACATGAAAAAACTTTTTAGGAGAGAAGGAAAAAACCCTGAAGGGGAACTGTCATCAGTGACAAATATTGAAATGCAATCTATAAAAATATAATAATTTGAATGTAATGATTATAATATTTGTAAATGGATAATTAAAAAATATAGTCAACTATCAAATAATGGGTTATCAAATGGCTTAATTTCCAAAAACCGTTTAAGGGATACAAGTTAATATCCTTCAATAGCATGTCAGTCAAGATTTGAGGGACTTTCGAGGGTTCATATCAGCAGAGTGCTGGATAGGAAAAGAGAAGAAAAAGGGGAAAAAAATACTGATCAGTATGTTTGATGTTATCGGTAGGCTATAGTGTCTTAAACTTAGAAAGGAGGTCATATTATTTATAAATTATAATAGATTAGGTCTATTCTGAAATGATAGATTTGTAAAGTATCTTTCTTATCTTAATGTGTTGACAATGACATCAACATCAACGATATCAACAATGATATCAGTATGTACATTACTATTGTTAAATGTTATTATAAAACTTTATCAAAAAAAGTCTCTTCATATAGCCTAACAAATTACAAAACGTGGGCTCGTCCGGGATTTGAACCCGGGACCTCTCGCACCCAAAGCGAGAATCATACCCCTAGACCAACGAGCCGCTTACAGAATCCTCCGCACTATTAGTAAATGAATCATTATGTAAAATTAACTAACTACATAATTCTCATGATGCTGTGAGTAAATAGTTCTTATTAACCAATCTTTGACCTTGAGTGCAATTATTGTTCGTTTTCTGCATAAAGGCCCTTTCACACCGGACGCGTAACGGAAAAGCGAAACGAAAAAGCGAATAGTTCGCCTGAGTCTAGGCGAACACGCGTCGGTCTGTGTTTACGTACTCTTTACGTTGTACGTACATCCCGTCATGCATAACATATCGTAATTTTCCATTGTATCTATGTATTTTATCACTAATCACAAAAAAACATTGGGCTCGTCCGGGATTTGAACCCGGGACCTCTCGCACCCGAAGCGAGAATCATACCCCTAGACCAACGAGCCACGTGCATCATACAGTGCAACCTGAGAGACTATAAACTTTAAATTCCACCACCATGTACGGAAGTCACTATAACTTTAGTGTTGTTTCTGTACTTAAACTATGCAAATACAATGTCATCAACTGAGCGACATCAAAACAATAATTAACGAATCTTATTATCCACGTTCAATATTGAAATACTGTAATATAATTGTTTAGCACATTTTACATTGTAGAACATGCATAATTCTATTGAGCTCATTTATTAATTGACATTAATTACATAAATCACAGGAAAAATTCGCATACTTAGTGTCCATTACTAATTAGCTAACTACTTACCAAAACACTCATTTGTAAACACTTTTTGTAAACACTCATGTGCGGTATTATAAAGTGTGAAGTGTTTTCATTTTGTTGAAACTAGTCACTTAGGTTATGCAGTAGTCGGTAGGTGAACTAATGTTTTGAAGCTCTCTCGTATTCTCTGCTAAAGCTTACTGATGCTGCTTCTCTGAACATGGGAGAATAAATTACCCACAGTCCTTTACGATAATGTCGAGTGTTTATACAGCTGCTAGTCTTGTGCCTGTCACCGTAGTCGTGAAAAGATTGATATTCTGTTGTGTTTATCTTTAGATTCAAATTGAGACCACAAATATATTGGGTTGCAAGCAAATGACTCATCATGGTTTATGAGGGCGCAAAAACTCATAAAAATCATTATTGTGCCTTTCTTGCGAGTCGACAACCAAATAAGCCTACAATCTCTTATGAGTTCTAAAGTACAGAGTACTTAGAGAGAAAGACACTATTAAATATTGGTATAAAACGACTCATGATTTTGCCAAATAAGAAAAAAAAAAAATGCATTGATAAATCGTAATGAAAGGAAATCGAAATTATGAAAGGTTATGAAGTAAAAGTTCAAAATGGCACTAAATAATTAATTCAATTTAATTTCATTATGAGATATAAAAATGAAATTATGAGTTTTAAGTCAAATTTATGTCTTATGTCTGCGTCATAATTTCGGTTTAGTATGTCGTTTATTTCAACGTTTCATCTCATAAACATAAAATATAAAATCGACTTTTATAATTATTAATTATTATTTCCAAAAGCATGATTCCCCCACTATGTGTTGGAAACCAAATGGGCTTCCGTTTCCGATGGGTTTCCATAGTACTGCACACGTGACACACAGTGCGGAAGCATAGGGAGAGTGGCTGACTTCTGTTCGCTTGTTGTGATGTTCTTGGTTGTTGTTCGCTTTCAACTGTTGCGTTTCTGTCACCCCTACAACCCCAGTTGACAAACATGATGTCAAGTGTCCCTGGAGTTGTAAGTGAGATTTGTAATTTCGAAATATAAACGTTAACAATAACTTTATCTTGAGTTCAAAGGTCGTGGAGTACGTTCATTTTCTCGGCAAACTGACAAGTAACGTTAGACAATGCGCGAACTTGTTCTCCACGCTAACAGGCTAATTTTAGCCAAGTAGTTATTTGGGTAACTTACTAACATAATAGTACATTAATAAGACCCAGTGTGCAAGCCAGTTATCAGCTTGATTTTATCACTTTATATAACTTTAGTTAGTTGTTCAGCTTTCAATAATAGCTCAGCATGTACCTCTTTATAATTGGAAGACCACTGGCTCATTCATCTATTTATTTGTTAACATTTGTTTATTTGATACCAGTGATATACTGTTTTATCTGATTCCCGAAAGCCTGAAATCACAATATGTCAGAATAGTTCATTCTACTTCAGCACACATATTATATAGATGGCATTTGTAGTATAGTTGCCCTTGGTAACTAATGCAAATACACTACTAGATGTGATATTGTGATGTACACACCAATGATCTCTCTTTTCTCTTGCATGCATGCAGTCCAGATTTTGATCATGTAATAACTATGTACATGGAAGGTCACTGAGAAATAATGGAGGAATTTCTGAGCACGCTCCGTGATCATGATGTCAGGTAAGGGGGATAATTCAAATTTTGCTCAATCTTCATTTATATATATATATATATATATATATATATATAAAAAAATGCTGACTTAAATGCTGTGTTATGCATTTCTATCTATTTAGGAATACAGAATTCACTATTGTTTACATGCTGTTTGTCTCCTCTTCATCTCCTCAGCTCTGTCCTGTCATCTTGTGAGCCAGAATTACAGGAGTTGATGCGGCAGATTGACATCATGGTGGGGCACAAGCGGCGTGAGTGGGAAGCTGAGGTTCAAACCATGGAGCTGCGACTGCAGAATACACAGGAGGAACTCAAGTCAGCCAGGGCTCTGCTCGACAAGAGGAGCTCAGAGGTACTATATCACACCTTGATCACCTGGCTATGGTCATATTTAAGTTTGGAGTTTGAGGCTATTGTGTTACACCAAACAAAGAATGTCCACATTTTTTTATTGTTCAATCAATGTATGAATTGATCATTAATGAAGCACAATTATTTTTCCCTATGTTCAGTTAAAGAGCACCTATCATGGATTTTTGAAAATGACTGTTCATGTAGCTCTAAGGGAATGAAAACATCCAGCAAAGATTTATATCTGAAAGTGCACCGTATATAAAGTTATTGTCTTTCAAAAGTGAGAGTCGACTCTGAGTCTATGAAATGAATTGTTTTTGTTCGTCACATCGTGACGTAGAGAGGTCATGGCCGCTCCCAACAACTGCACGCGCAGACTTGAAGTGACGTCTAGAACACATTCAAATACTTCAGCTGTATCGCATCATGTCGAGAAGACGCTGTGTTCTACATTGCAAAGACAGTTCAGCCACTTGCTTCCATTGTCCAGGGATGAGCATGTAAAGAATCAGTGGTCAGAGTTCATATTTGCAACAGTATAGAGAGCCTAAGTCCTGCCCCTCCTCTTCCGGCTCATGGGACCTTATTTCGGAAAAAATATGTATGGTAGTCAATGGCGAGAGACAACTTATCTTTTTATTCCGTCTGAACTGTGCCCTCAATTACACATATGATGTTTGTCAATTTAAAAGATAATTCTGAAAGTCAAAAATGTCACCGTTTGTCATAAAACAGGAGAGTAACTTTTAGTTTTATGTGAAAATCGCTCAATGAACTACATCTCCCGGGCTGCGAATCAACAAACAAGGTCCGCTGCTTGTGTGTGTGCAGTCTGGTACAAAACACTCAGGCATGACGGCATAACATTATGATTATAACGTAAGACTATAGAAACAATGACAGACATTAGCCTCAGTAAAGTTACCTTCATTCATTGAGAGAAAATGTGCACCTTTGGGGGTTGTAGTCTTTGTAATTACGTATTTCTTATACCTTATACCTTAACGGTTTCGCATAAAACGGCGACTTTCTTTACTTTAAAATGTATCTTTTAAATTGACAAACATCATATGTGCAATTCAGGGCACAATTCAAACGAGATCAAAATATTTGTTGTCTCTCACCATTGACTACCATACAATATTTTTCCGAAATAAGGTCCCATGGTGGTCGACCGGAAAGGGAGGGACTTAGGCTCTCTATAGCCTGAACCTTGTGTTCTCATCATTTTAATGACGAATCATTCGCAAGCCGGTTGTTCATGGATCAGGTTCGTCCTCCTCCGAATCACAATCTGTAAGTAATATTAATAATGTTTGCTGTTATGTTTTCTGTAGCATGCACAATATAGTTATATTGTGTTGTGTGTGTTGTGTTGTGAACTGAAGCTGCCAGTATCCCAATATGGCGCTGATATC